GCTCACCTGCCCCGCTCACCTGCCCGGCTCACCTGCCCGGCTCACCTGCCCCGCTCACCTGCCCGTCGCCCGCGCGCCCCCCCCCGAGTGGAGGCCGCGGTGCCGGCGGACTGCGAGTTCCAGGCACCCAGACCCAACCACGCCCGAGGCTCCGGGGCCGGGCCGCAGGATCACGCCAGGTCCTCCCGAGCCTCTACCCGGACGCCAGACCGCGCCGTCCGGTTCCCCCGGGGCAGGGCGCAGCGCCGCCGGCCAGCCCGGCCGCGCCTTCCGAGCGCCCCTCGCCGTCCTTCCCCCGCGCTGAGCCCCGGCCTTGCGGCCGCTTCCCCTCCGGGTCCGGCAAGAGCGAGACGCGCGCGCTGAGCGGCGGGCCCCGCAAGGGAGGCGGGGAGGACGCGCAGCTCCGGGCCGGGTCCGGGCACGCTCGCTCTCGGGGCGTCCGGGGCAGCCCTCCCGCGACAGGCTCCGGGACCAAGGCTGCCCGTCCCCGCGGCCGCGCCAAGCGTCCCAACGGCCGAGGGGCCGAGCCCGCGACCCGCCCCTGACCCGCAGCTCCGGGAGCCCGCCGTAACCGACCTCGGGCTCCGCGCGGGCGAGCTCGGGCCCGGACCCCGCGGGAGGCGGCGCGACCCGAGGGGCGCCGCGCAGGGTCCCCCGCAGCCCCGGGCCGCCGCCGAGGACCCGGCGCAGGCCTGGGAGCCGCTCACCTCTCCCTGTCGCCGCGCGTGGGCCGCCGCCGCGCTCAGGCTCGCCGTGGTCGAGGCCGGAGCAGGGTGCGGAAGAGCGGGGCCCGCGCCCGAAACAGCCGCACCGCGCCGGGACTGGGCCCACCGAACCCGCCGCTGCGCCTCCGCCGCCTCAGCCTCCAAGATGGCCGCTCGCGGGGCGGGGCCGGCTTCGCTTCCGCTTCTGGTGCGCGCTCCGGGGGCAGGCGGCCGCTCTAGGCAGCCTGGAGGACCGCGCCGACTCTGTCGCCGCCGCCGGGGTCGGCGCGTGCGCACTGGCGGGCGGCTCCGGGCCCGCGGAGCTGGCGCTGCGAGTCCCGGATCCCGAGGCCGCGTGCTCCGGTCTCCACGTGCCCCGGCCCAGGGCGGCGGGCCCGGCTGAAGGCGACCCCGGCGGAGACAGGACCCCGACCCTCCCGACTCGTCCTCCGCTCCCACGCCCCGCCCGGCCCCGAGGGGAGGCGCGGCGCGGACCGGGCGTGGAGCGCCCCGGGGCCCTGGGGGCCTGGCTGGGCGGAGGGTTGGGCGCCAGGGCGTTCAGAGCTCTCTCGTTCAGGGACTCGAGAGTGTCACGCGTGGGATCGCTTTGCAGCCCACGCCCGCGTCCCAGCACCGTCCCCTACAGGTGCCCGCCCAGCCCAGGGCCGCACCCTCCCCTCAGGTGCCCGCCCAGCCCAGGGTCGCCCCCACCCCGGGTCTCCCCCGCCCCGGCACCCTCCCCTTAGGTGCCTGTCCGAGCCCAGGTCGCCCCTGGCCTCCCCCTGGCCAGACTTCAGAAAGCGCTGGGCACTGCGTTCTCTCCACCTGTCTCTCTGACCCCAGACGCAGTGGGAGGGAGCGGAGGTGGTTGGGCGCTGGGATGGGACGCTGGGGGCGGGCACACGGCCCACCACCTCCCTGAGAGGCAACCGAAGACAGTGGGGAGCTGAGGGTGATCCCCTGATGGGGGATCGGGAGGTGGACCTCGCCACCAGGCTGCCCATGGCCTTCTCCTTCACCCCAACCCTGACTGCCCCTCAGAGACAACCACAGGTCAGCAAGGTGGCTGAACACTGAAGGTCGTCCCACGGTGGCTGTGGGCACAGGGCAGGTGGCATCCGTGCTCAGCCCCAACTCTGCCCCTCCGGGACACCTTGGCAGGTCTGAGACACTGCTGCAGGCCCCAGGGCAGAAGCCAGGAGGAGTGTCCAGACGGCCTCAGCCCGTGGGAATCTAGCCTCTTCCACGCCTGCCGTCACCAGCTCCACCTTCAGAAGACATCTTGGCGTCAAGCCTCCTTCCTCTGCCTCCTCTCAGGCCTCTGCCGTTCCCATGCAGGGCAGGCCAAGCTGCTGTTACAGCATGGAAAGTTATGTAAGGGAAGCCACGCCACCTGCAGACCAGGCACCAGCACGTCCAGTTGCGTGCACACTGGCGGCTGTGGTCCATGGCAGATCAAGGCCCGCCCCTGCCTCATCTGTCGCTCAGTAACAGTGAGTGTGAAGAGAACGTACTTGTGAGTCCCTGCAGGTGGGAAAGCTGCAGCATGAGGCTCAGCTCAGAGGCCCCTGCTCAGGAGCGCAGCTGAGTCACACCCCAGGGAAGGTACCCGGGACAGGTGTGACCAGCATGTCTTGCCAAGACCCCACCATGGCCCTTACCTCACCCACCCACATCTGTGGCCTTCTGGTAAGCAGGACTCAGGCTGCCCAGGCCTCTGGCCGTAGAGCTGATGGCCTTAGCCAGCGGGAACGGCACAAGCAGCTAGGTTGGTGGTAGATGGTACCTGTAACCTTGTCAGCCCCGAGACTGCCCTCTGAGGCCAGGAGCCGCCCTTCTGCTGTGGGTCAGACCTCAGGAGCTTCATCTGGCAGAACAACGGGGACCACCCAGCATCTTGGCAGCAGGAGCACACTCTGCTTTGGGGTTTCAAGAAAACATCATCCCCAACCCAGTCGCTACCTCCTGCTCCCACCTCCTCCAGCCCCCAGGGTCGGACCAGAAAGCCTTGGCCACCTCTGACCAGCAGGCACTGTCTGGCCAGGGCTTGAAGGAGAGAGAAACTCAGCCTGGAGGGTGCAAACCCAAAAGCATCTGAGGCAGGTCTGAGTCCCTTTAGAAAGCTTGTTTTGCCAAGGTTAAGGACATGCCCATGACAGCCTCAGGAGCCCAAGGTGCCTGTGGCCCAGCTTGCTTTTATACATTTTAGGAAGACATGATTTATTTACATGGGTTCAATCTGAAAGGGCAGGAGAAGGTGGGGTGGTTTGGGAAGACTTCTAGGTTCTTGGTAGATTCAGCATTTTTCTGATTGACAATTGGTTGAAAGAGCTATTATCAGTGGGAAAAAAGTCTGGGTTGCTGTAAGGGGTCGTGGTTTTCATGCAGCAGAAGCCTCAGGTAGTAGGCTTCAGAGAGAATAGACTAAATGTTTCCTATCAGACTTCAGGCCTGTGCTGATGTGAATGCTGGTCAGCTTTTCCTGAATTCCAAAAGAGAGGAGGCATGAGGCATGACCCACAACCCCTTCCCATCACATCCTGGACAAGTTTAACAGGTTAGCACTGGAGTGCCTGTGGCCGGGAGGAGGGATCTATTCGGAAGGTTAGGGGCCTTAGAATTTCACCCCCTTCTGGCCAAGATGTGCCAGAGCCAACATCAATGGCTACCAGATCTTTACTGTGTCCCATAGGATTGCTGGGCTAGTGTTGCTGCCAGCCCTGGATCAATCCTGTCTATTGCTGAGACTCCCTATGACCCAGGAACTTAGAGTCAAAAGATTTACAGCCAATTAAATTTTCTAGGCCAGATAGAAATGGACATGGACTGGCATTCTTACCCTTTAAAACAATTTTTTTTTTTTTTGAGATGGAGTCTCATTCTGTCACCTAGGCTGGAGTGCAATAGCATGATCTTGGCTCCCTGCAACCCCTGCATCCCAGGTTCAAGTGAGTCTGCTGCCTCAGCCTCTTGAGCAGCTGAAACTACAGGTATGCATTACTATGCCTAGATAATTTTCGTATTTTTGTAGAGACAGGGTTTCACCTTGTTGGCCAGGCTGGTCTCGAACTCCTGACCTCAAGTGATCTACCCTTCTCAGCCTCCCAAAGTGTTGGGGGATTACAGGCATGAGCCACCATGACCAATGTATCATGTAACATTTATTTTATTTTTTTTTTTTTGAGACAGAGTTCCGCTCTTGTT